GCCAGGCACTTATATTATCTATTTGTATCTTCCCAAAAACCCCATGAGGGAGGCATTACCATCCCCCTTGCATTGATGATGTAATCAGTCAGTTCCCCAGAGAGAGAAGTGACCTGCCTACAGTCACACCCCAGTAGGTGATAGAACTAGGACTGAACCCAGCCCTCCAAAGCCCACGTTCATCACACCCCCAACAAAATCACCCATTCTCTCAAACAATCCCACAGACTGTTTCTCCTCCTTTATACTCATGTTGATAAATGGCTCCACCATCAGATTTGGAAACAGTTGGCAATCTTGTTCCCCCACCCAGTCGAGCCCTGCTGAGCCCAACTTCTGGCCACCTTCCTGTGCCCAGTGGTCTCCATCCCCACGGGTAAAAATTTCAGTCTCCCTGATCTGCTCGTGCCCTTTGCAGGTAGTTCTCAGCCAGGATCCAGGTTCACCTTTCCAAAAACCAACTCCCTGCTCTTGAATTGCCAGCAGCTTCTCTCTGCTCTCAGGACCTGCAAGATCCAGCCCTACCTGCCTCTCCTGCCATATTCCCAGCCACACCTGCCCACATACGTGGGCCATCCACAGTGGCCATTGTTTGGGCTCTTAACATATGTCCTCTCCCCAGCCTGGGCCCATGCTTGTCTCTCTGCCTGCATCATCAACCCTCACCTAATTCCTTCTTAACCTTCGGATCTCAGCTTTGGTGACAATCCTAAGACGGCACAGCAGAGGAACTGAATGCACCTGGGCAAACTGCTCCTGCTTTCTGTAGCCCTCTTCCTACCCCCAAAGAGGGGGTACACAGAAGCAGAATCTCAAATCTCAGGTTTCCCTCATTTCCGCCCAGTTTTTCCCCATACCCCGTTTTCCAGCAGGACCCTCTTACCAGGCCACCCGGGACATGGCATAGGTGATGTGGCAGGCCTGGGTCCCCCCAAAGGGAGAAGCCATGCCCATGGTGTAGGCGCCCATGTTTTCAAAGACCAGCCAGTCCCCTACGTGTAGTTGCGGCAGCCACAGACCCTCAGCCACGCAGTCACAGCCATCAACCGCCGGGCCCCACAGGCTGCTGCTGTACAGGGGCTGTTCCATGGAGGGTTTCTGTAGGAGGAAGGGATGACCATGCCAGCTCTCCTGGGCATACAATAGCCTTGCCACTCCCTCCCTCAAAAGCCTTCTATGGCTCCCATAGCCACAAGGATAAAGTCTAGATGGCCGTCCTAGCTTAGTATTTAAGGCCCTTCTCACTTCTCTGAATTCATTGCCTCTTATGCTCTGAAGTCACAAATGCCTGGTCTTAAATCCAGGTTTCAACAATTGTGAGCTGTGTGGCCTTCTCCATGTCTCAGTTTGCTCATTTGTAAAATGGGGATAACAATAGTACCTATCTCATAAAGTTACTGCAAGGATAAATGACTTAGTGTATGGAAAGCATGCAGAACAGTGGCCGACACACAGCGAGCGTGCATGGAAAGTCAGCACAATTGTAACTGTTACTGTTGTGATTGTTGTTGTTATTACCTCTGTGCTTTGGTCTTCACTGACCTCTTTCCAGACCTCAGCATGTCCACACCTCCACAGACCTTCCCCGACCCTCAAATCCAGCCTGTCTTCTGAGCCCAGCCCTGGGGCACCCTCATCTATGAAGGCCTCCCAGATGTCCTCACTCCATTCCAGGCCCAGCAACAGGAGCCAGCACTGCACAGGTGGGTTAGACTCACCCTCCTCCAGGCCTTCAGTCTCATGAGAAAGACGAGTCTCCAACAACAATCACAGAGGGACCTGGCAGAGATCACAGAGGACCTCACGGAATAGACACAGTGACTCCCATTTCAGAAAAACTGAGGCTCTGAGAGGTTAAACGACTTGCCCAAAGACACAACTATCAATGACATACAATTTAAGATTTTTTTATTTTAAATGATTTCCAAATCCAGAAAAGAAATTTGCAACACAGATCTTTTGTGGACAACTAAGGTATCAATGCCATTTGTCACACTGTAGGCGGGGATTCTGCCAGGTAGGTCCTAGAGTCACCACTGAAAGGTGGATGATGCTGACTGTGCCACTCAGGGGCCTCTTCTACCCTCACTGCCCTTGCAGATACTCCAGTGACTCCAGTTGCTCTGTCTCCCTAAGTAAACCCTACTTCCCTTCCCATACCTCCTACCTTCCCCCATGCTATTCCCTAAGGCCCCTGTCTGCAAACTCCTATTTTTCCTTTAGATCCCAGCTAAAGTGGCTTCAGGGAAGCCTTTCCTAAAGCTCCATCCTCCCCCACCCTCTGCTTTCATAGCATCTACCATAACTCATAAATATTTGCACAATATCTGCTCAGACCTGTCTTCCCTGCAGACTGTAAATTCCATGAACCCAGGGATTGTGCAGGTCTTGAGATCCCCATCTCCTCCATGCCTAAGGCTGGCATCCATTAGGTGCTTATTCGAATATTTTTTAAATAAATATGAGTTAAAGAATGAGGTATACATGAGTGATGAGAAAGAGAAAGAGTGAGAAAGGGGAAAAAAAGGATATGGATAGAAGCCATCCAAAGGGCACAGATGGAAGCAACAGAGAAGACCAGCAGAGAAAAAAGGAAGGGCATTTCAATACCTTAGTCAGGGCAGGAATAAATAAAATTGAGAAAGAAAAATCACAGTTTCCACAAGCAGAAATAATGTTCATCTATTTGACAAAAGGTTAATTAGTAAGCTATTGGTTCCTTTAATAAAGAAAAATGTGTACGTTATTTAAGTCAAGAATAATAGCTATCCAGTTTTCAGGAATTCATTCATTCAACAAGTACTTATTGAGCATCTACTAATTGCCAGGCTGTGATCTAGGAGCTGGAGATGCAGCAGTAAACACACACACAAAATAAAATTCCTGTGGTCCTGAAGTTCACATTCTAAGATGGGGAGACAAAGGAATACTGTATATCCTTGTTCATATAACTGAACATTCTTGTTTGTAAACTTTTTGTTAGTGAGTAAAATTAACCTCAATTGCTCTGAATTATTTCCGTTAGCCCCACTCATTGAAAAACATTAAGCTGATGTTTAATGATGAGGGGAGGGGATGCTCTATAAATGAATCTACAAGGATCTTTGAGAAAACAAATTTTAAAGATTCTTCCACAGCAAAGAGAAAAGGCACCCTTGATTATAAGAAGTTAGCGTTCCCTCACTTGGTACTAGTGTTATACATTTTTTTAAAAGGTGTAAAAAAGTTTTTTAACTTACATGAAATCATGCAAAGCTACGCTTTTACTATTTATTTATCTATTTAATTTTCTTTTGAGACAGAGTCTCACTTTGTCATCCAGGCTGGAATGCAGTGGTGCGATCTTGGCTCACTGCAATCTCTGCCTCCTGGGATCGAGTGATTCTCCTGCCTCAGCCTCCCGAGTAGCTGGGATTACAGGTGCCCACCACCACACCCAGCTAATTTTTGTATTTTTAGTAGATACAGCATTTTGCCATGTTGGCCAGGCTGGTCTCAAACTCCCGGCCTCAAGTGATCTGCCCGCCTTGGCCTCCCAAAGTGCTGGGATTACAGGCATGAGCCATCGTGCCTGGCCCACTTTTACTATTTAAAGCCATTATTATATTTTTCTTGTTATTACTCTTTTTTTAGATGGAGGCTCGCTCTGTCACCCAGGCTGGAGTCCCATGGCACCATCTCACCTCACTGCAACCTCTGCCTCCCAGGTTCAAGTGATTCTCCTGTCTCAACCTCCTGAGTAGTTAGGACTACAGGTGCCCACCACCACGCCTGGCTAACTTTTGTACTTTTAGTAGAGACAGGGTTTCCCCATGTTGGCCAGGCTGGTCTCGAACTCCTGACCTCAGGGGATCCACCCGCCTTGGCCTCCCAAAGTACTGGGATTACAGGCACGTAAGCACGCCCAGCCTATCTCTCTTTTTTTTTTTAAAGGAATCTGTGAAATAAATATTCCAAAAGCTGTAACAACAAGCTTGCAGATCTCAGCTCTCTTTCCAAGTCTGAAATGGACAAGCATCTGCAAAAATCTAAGATGCCCAGTCTGCCAGCCACTAGGCCCCTCTATGAGAGAGGGAAGGGGATTTCTTATTTACAAAGCATATCACCACCACTTCATACCTTATCTGGGAGGTAGGTGGCATGATTGCATTGTCATTTTACAGATGAGAAAACTCAAGAGAGGGAAGGTAGCCTGCCCCAGGTTCTAGGGGGAGTTAGTAACAGAACTCTGGGCAGTCCCAGACAAGGAGCCTCCTAGCTGCCTTCCTCAAAGGCACATATGTCTGACAGAGCCACAGAAGAAACAAGGTCAAACATTGAAAAGGTACATGGCCTTGATGGAATCGCAAAATAATTCTTCAACTTTTAAAGAATAACTCAATAGGCCAGGCATGGTGGCTCACACCTGTAATCCTAGCACTGTGGGAGGACAAGGCAGGTGGATCCCCTGAGGTCAGGAATACAAGCCCAGCCTGGCCAACATGGTGAAACCCTGTCTCTACTAAGAATACAAAAAAAAAAAAAAAAAAAAAAAAAGCCAGGCATGGTTCCAAGTGCCTGTAATCTCAGCTGAGACAGGTGAATCATTTGAACCCGGAAAGCGGAAGTTGCAGTGAACTGAGATCACACCACTGCACTCCAGCCTGGGCAACAGAGCAGGACTCCATATCAAAAAAAAAGTAAATCAATAATCCCTATACTACATCAAGTGTACAAAAATATTTTAAAAGACAAAAATGAGATAAACAAGGGCAACACATAAAAAGTAGAAAAAAAAAATTCCTATGGCCAAAATCTCATTCATGAATATATAGGCAAAAACCTGACATGAAATCTTAGCTAACCAAGTTCAGTCATCTTCAATAGTGAAATAATTTATCTCTAAAATGAAAGGTGCAGACAACAGGGGAGAAGTCAATCACTGGCTTCATCATAACATGGAAAATATAGATCTACAGGTCAAGTTTAATTTTCCCAATACATGTCAACATACCATTCAGTAGCCTGTAGCATCTACTCTTTATTAAAACTATAGACAAAACAAAACCCCACAATAAAGAGAGACTATTTTAAACAAGGATCCAACTCTGACTTCATTGAGATACACTAAAGTTCAGCCCAGCCATTTTCCAAATGGAGAAACTAGAGAAATAAGGCTCAGAGAGTTTAAGTTGAGTACGTAATCTCTACAAGTTCACAATATGCTGCATAGAATTCACTGTACGGAATATACCATAATTATATATCTTCTACCCTGCCAACAAACATTAAGGTCATTTCCAGTGTTTTATATTATAAAAATATATACATCCTGATACATCTCCTCGAACACGCATGCCAAGAGTTTCTTTACAATATAGGCCTAGGAACTTGCTGTAATGTAGGGCATACATATGTTTAAATTTATCTGAATAATGCCTACTTGTTTCCCAAAGTAGAGATACACCAACTCCTGCCTAGCAGTACCTAAGAGACCCAACTACGCCATATCCTCACCAACAGTTGGCATTATCGTGCTTTTAATGTTTTTCTAATCTAGTTGGTATGAAATGGTATCTCATTTTCACTTTTATTTGCATTTCCTTGATTACCAGTGAGCACCTTTTCATGAATTGTCTGGTAAAGTCTCTTGCCTGTATTTCTATTGGGTTGCTTTTTTCCTTATTTTCTTGAGATTCTTGTTTGTCTCTATTTATTACTTAAGAATTCTTCATATATTTTGCCTACTAATCTCTTATCAATTATACATGTGTTTCAATATTCCTCCCAGTTTGCCTTAGCTGGTCTATTTTTTATGCTGATATCAAAACTAAACTATTTTAATTACCCTCTGTGTTAGAAGTTATATTATCTTATTTCTATTCTTATAGTGGTTACTCTAGACTTTTTTTTTTTTTTTTTTTTTTTGAGACAGAGTTTCGCTCTTGTTACCCAGGCTGGAGTGCAATGGCGCGATCTCGGCTCACTGCAACCTCCGCCTCCTGGGTTCAGGCAATTCTCCTGCCTCAGCCTCCCTAGTAGCTGGGATTACAGGCACGCGCCACCATACCCAGCTAATTTTTTGTATTTTTAGTAGAGACGGGGTTTCACCATGTTGACCAGGTTGGTCTCGATCTCTCGACCTCGTGATCCACCCGCCTCAGCCTCCCAAAGTGCTGGGATTACAGGCTTGAGCCACCGCGCCCAGCCCGACATTTATATTTTAACATCTCAACATAGCATTCAATAGCTATAGCATCTATTCTTGATCAAATCTACAGAAAAAAATCTAAACAAAACCCCACAATGAAGACAGACTATTTCAATAAGGAATCAACTCTAACTTCATGAAGATACACTGGAATGGCCTCACTTCAAAACAAGAAGCAACATTAGTAATTAAAGTTCAGCCCCCTGATTTTTCAACTGGAGAAGCGAGAGAAATAAGACTCAGAGAGATTAAGTAACTTGCCTAAGGTTATCCAGCAAGTATATGGTAGCATTCATCTTAGCGGCCTTCACAGTTCAGCCCTGGCCTGCACCTTCCAGCAAGATTCTCCTCCATTTAGCAGCAGACTGCTTCTGTGCTGCATGGGTTATTGCAGTAGGCACCCTCTGACAAGTTTGCCACTGGTAACTTCGTGTTTCTATGACACTGCAGCCTCTCCTCAAAGCTTTCAATATCAGCCTTGGAGGACGTCCTGGTGCTCTCCTTCTCTGTGTTTCTAAGTTCCTCCCTTGTTCACTCGCCCTCAGGATCGGGGGTGGTAGCTGATTTTACCCCTTTTAGTAATTGTAATTAACCACCTTTAGAGTTAACTATTCTTTATGTTGAAATTTTCCTGTTCAAATTACTACTGTGGTATCTGTATCCTGATACAATCTCTTCCTGAAACTATGATTGGACATTACTCCTTCTCACTCTATGTACCACTTCCTTAGCCTTTCCTATTTTATATCTTTTTGTCTCTGTGCTATATTTGGATACTTTCTTCAACTCTATCTTTGCATTCTCTCATTCTCTCTTCTGTTGTCTCTAATATGCTGCTTACCCTGGCCATAATTTCAATTTCTCTACTTTTCACTTCTAGAAGTTCTATTTAATCCTTTTTAAAATCTACTACAACATATTTTTATATTCACTTATTCTTTGGTCTTATTTTCAATTTCTTATTTCTTCAAACATTGTAAAAGAATGTTAGCACCTGATAACTGCAATATATGAAGTAAATGTAGGTCTGATCTGCTACCTATTGCATTGTGGTTCTTCCTTACGTGACTTGTTTCTTTGTATGTTGTGATTTTTTTTTTTTTAAGACAGAGTGTGGCTCTGTTGCCCAGGCTGGAGCGCAGTGTCCTGATCTCAGCTCACTGCAATGTCTGCCTCCCAAGTTCAAGCAATTCTCCTGCCTCAGCCTCCTGAGTAGTGGGATTATAGGCACCCACCATCATGCCCAGCTAATTTTTGTATTTTTAGTAGAGACAGGGTTTCACCATGTTGGCCAGACTGGTCTCAAATTCCTGCCTTCAGATGATCTGCCTGCCTCAGCCTCCCAAAGTGCTGGGATTATAGGGTGAGCCACCACACCCAGCCATATGTTGTGATTTTTGACTGCTTTTTGACTGTGAGCTCAGGTACTTTGAAACCTTATCTGTGAGAATTCTTATCTTTGAAACCTTATCTGTGAGAAGCCTAAATTGAAGATTCCCCCTCCAGAAAGAATTTGTTTGCTTCTGCCAGATGAAATTATTTTGAGACTTGAGGTTTTTCAGACCATAGTTAATGTGAATTTGGGCCACAAGTTCAAGAGAAGCTGGCTTGTGGCTGCAAAATCTCAATTTTTTCTTTCTTCCAGTCACTACCAAGATCAAAACAGGGAAGTTTTCTTGCTGTCCTTCTCTGTAGGATGGGCTTTTTTCTCCAGTTGACCCTTAAACTGAGGATGTACTTCTTTTGGGTTCTCTGCTTTACGTAAGGGTATTCTATTGGATTCTCCATCTTGACACAGATATCAAAACTGAAGGTCAGTGCTACCATGATTCAGCATACACTCCAAAAGAAAAATCCAGTTTCAGAATTAGGTTGTCATTTAACACATATTTGGATAATCACGGTTTTGTATTCTTGGGACACACCAATGAATAAAATACACAAAGGTCCTTGTCCTCATGGGGTTTACAGTCTAGCAGGGAGAAGGCAAACAACAAGTAAATTATATAGTATATTAGAAGGTAACAAGCACTAATGAAAAAAACAAACAAAAAAATGCAACACCAAAGGCACAATCCATAAAAGAAAAAATTGATAAACTGGACTTCATTAAAATTAAAAATTTCTGCTTGGCCGGACATGGTAGCTCATGCCTGTAATCCCAGCACTTTGGGAGGCCGAGGCAAGCAGATCACCTGAGGTCGGGAGCTCAAAACCAGCCTAAACAACACAGGAGACCCTGTCTCTAAAAAAGTAAACAGGCCGGGTGCGGTGGCACATGCCTGTAATCCCAGCACTTTGGGAAGCCCAGGCGGGTGGATCACGAGGTCAAGAGATCGAGACCATCCTGGTCAATAAGCTGAAACCCCGTCTCTACTAAAAATACAAAAAGTAACTGGGCATGGTGGTGCGCACCTGTAGTACCAGCTACTTGGGAGGCTGAGGCAGGAGAATTGCTTGAACCCAGGAGGTGAAGGTTGCAGTGAGCTGAGATCATGCCATTGCACTCCAGTCTGGGTAACAACAGTGAAACTCCGTCTCAAAAAAAAAAAAAAAAAGTAAATAAATAAACTTAGCTGGGTGTGGTAGCACATACTTGTAATCCCAGCTACTTGGGAGGCTGAGGCAGGAGGAGGTTGAGGCCGCAGGACTGTGACACTGTACTCCAAGCTGGGCTACAGAGCAAGACCCAATCTCAAAAAAAAAAAAGAAAGGAAAAAAGTTTATAGAATAAGGACATGAAGAATGAAAATGTTTTGATATGGCTATACAATGTATTTGTTCTTTAAACTAAGCATTATTATGAAACAAAAAATTGGTTGGGCTCAGTGGCTCATGCCTGTAATCCCAACACTTTGGGAGGCCAAGGCAGGTGGATCACCTGAGGTCAGGAGTTCCAGACCAGTCTGGCCAATGTGGTGAAACCCCATCTCTACTAAAAATACAAAAATTAGCTGGGCGTGGTGGCACACACCTGTAATCCCAGCTACTCAGGAGGCTGAGGCAGGAGAATTGCCTGAACCAGGAGGCGGAGGTTGCAGTGAGCCGAGATCGCGCCATTGCACTCCAGCCTGGGTAACAAGAGCGAAACTCCGTCTCAAATAAATAAATAAATAAATAAATAAATAACGATAGTCAAAAAGTTTTTAAAAGTTTATAAAGTAAGTAAGTTATAGTAACTGAGGCACTCACTCATTGACTCATCCAGAGCAACTTCCAGTCCTGCAAGCTCCATTCATGGTAAGTGTCCTATACAGATGTACCATTTTTTTATCTTTCATACCATACCAAACCTTTTCTTTTTTTTTTTTAAGAAACCTTCAAAGCTACTGCACATCAACATACCAAACCTTTTCTATGTTTAGATACACAAATACTTACCACTGTGTTACAATTGCCTACAGTATTCAGTACAATAACATGCCACACAGGTTTATAACCTGGGATCAGTAGGGTATACCAACCATATAGCCTACTGCTATAGGCTATACAAAATTGCCTAAGGATGCATTTCTCAGAACACATCCCAATCATTAAGCGACAGATGACTGTAGCTACCTTACAAGATTAATGTAAAAATGAAGGGGCTAGTGCCACATAAAATGCTTAGTACAGCACCTGTTACCATAAGTGCACAATGACTTTAGCTGCCACCAGTATATACGTGAGGTTGGCAACCATGCAACACTGAATGGTAAAAGAGGTAAAAGAGGAAGTGTCATTAGAGATAAATGAATAGAGTTGCATTAGGGTAGAGGATTGCAGAGGTTTTTTTTTTTTTCTTTTTTAAAAAGTTCCTGTCAATTTTAAGTTGCTTATACATATATATTTTAAATCTATTCAATTCAGCCTGGGAGTAGAGGCTGTAATCCCAACACTTTGGGAGGTTGAGTTAGGAGGATCACTTGAGGTCAGGAGTTTAAGACCAGTCTGGCCAACATGGTGAAACCTGGTCTCTACTAAAAGTACAAAAAGTAGCTGGGTGTGGTGGCACACGCCTGTAATCCCAGCTACTTGGGAGGCTGAGGCAACAGAATTGCTTGAACCCAGGAGGCAGAGGTTGCAGTGAGCCAAGATCACACCACTGCACTCCAGCCTGGACAACAGAGTGAGACTCCATCTCAAAAAAAAAAATCTATTCAATTCCAACATATACCGAGCACCTACTCTGTGCCAGGTTCTGTACTAGGGAAACAGATATGAACAGATGTGAGACCCTCAAGGGTCTCACAGTTTATTGAATGATTCATTCATTCACAATTCATTCAACAGATATTTAGTGAGTACAGATATTTAGTGAGCACCTGTGTCTGGTGCTGGGAACTCAGAGGAAACTAATTGGACAAGGTGGCTGCCCTCATAGAGCCTACCTGCTAATGGAGAAGACAGACTATAGGCACGTAAATAGAAACAACAGGATAATTAACAGAGTATGATAGGTTGTAAAGAAAACAAACGGTGTCAAAATTATCTGACTAGGGGAGGTGAGCCCACTTTAGTGAGGGCAGTCAGGAAAGATCTCTCTGAGGAGGTAACATCTGAGCTGAGACATAAAGAAAGAGAATATAGCAGCTGTCTCGGGGTGAGTGGAAGAGCATTATGAGCAGAGTGAATGCAAAGGCCGTGAGAGCAGAAACAACTTAGGTGTTACAGAAGCAGAAAGGAGGCCAGTGAGACTGGAGGAAGTGAGTAGAGCTGAAAACGGGAAGGAGTGAGGGCAGAGGTGGCTAGGAAGATGCTGGGAGCCGTGCTGGTTGTGATAGAGAGTCTAGGCTTTATTCTGAGAGCAATGGGAAGCCACAGATGGTGTCAAGCAGAGGAGGGGCATCATCTTTGGGATTTTTAAAAGATCGCTCTGTCTGCAGCGTGGAAAATGGGTGGTAAGCAGGTAGGAGTAGGGGGCAGAAAACTAGTTAATAGTTACTGCAGTAGCTCAAGCAGGAGGTAATGGTGGCTTGCATTAGGGTAGTGACAGAGAAGGAATGAACTAAATTCAAAACGTATTTTGGAACTACACTCAAGAATTCTAGGTGGATTGCATGTGGAAGGAGAGGGAAAACAAGAATCAAGAATAATGCCGACTTTTTTACTTCAACAGCTGGCTAGTGGCAGTGCTATTTACTGAGAGAAGTTTGGGGTTGGAAATCAAGAGTTCGGTTCTGAGCAAGTTAAATTTGAGATGTCAGTGAAAGCCCAGTAGGAATGTCAAGTGAGTAATTGGATGCGCAAGTCTGGAGCTCACGGGTGTGATCCAGGATAGAGATGGTAATTTGGGAGTGATGAGAGTATGGAAGATACTAAGAGCCTCAGTCTGGAAGCATTTACCTAGGAAGCGCACACAGAGATCAAAGACTGAGGCCGAGACAGTCAACACTTAAAGGGTGAGCAGGAGAAGTGCCAATGAGACAAGGTGGGAACAGCAGAGGAGTAGCCAAGGCCCAGGATGTTGCCACAGAAGCCAGGAGAGGAGAGTGTGGAAACAGAGGAGGACCAGCTGCTGGGACAGAAGAGCCAAATAGAAGAGCTAGCAGCATGGAAGTGACTTTCAAGAGCATCTTCTGTGGCATCGTGGAAGAGATACCCAACTGGAGAGTCTGGAAGGGCTAAGGGAGCTGAGTGAGCATGGGCAGTGGGTACAGACCACTCGGTAGAAAAGTTCAGACATGAAGGGCAATGCCAACTTACAAAGTCCCTGGAAGAAGTTCCTGGAAACACATTTGACCAGTAAGTATATAAAGAGATGTCCAGCTTTGCTAGTGATCAGGGAAATGCAAATTAAGACATAATGAGATGCCATTTTACATGCATTCCACCGGGAAAATGTTTTCAGTGCTGGCACCGAGTCTCTTACACACTGCTGGTGAGATTGTCAGTACAACACTTCAGAAAACTGTTTGGCACTGTCTCATGAAGCCAAACATTCACATGCCCTATGGCCAGCCACTGCACTCCTTGGTCACTCATCAGAGAGAGAGGAACAAGAATTCACAGTGACAGTATTCACAGTAGCAAAAACCCAAGACAGTCCAAATGCCTTGAGAAGAGAATGGACAAATAAACTGCAGCATACTCACCAAAAGAGTGCTACACAGCAATGGAATGAATGGACTCTAGAGACATTCAGCAGGGTGGGAGCTCTTAGACTGTGATGTGAAGGGAGAAAAAGCCCAAAAAGATTATATGCATCAAAGTACCCTTTAATACAGCAAAAAACAAACACAATAAATTATAAATACACTCGAGGAATAGATTTAGACGTGATAAACCCATACTGAAAAAAGGAAGCCAAAGAATGATAATGCATGAGTCGAGATAGTGAGCACTTTGCATGGACTGCGACATAGGTTAAATGATAAAGATGCTTATTACGCTAAAAACAAAACAAAGACAAGATCTCCCATGGAGCATTTTTATTCCAGAGCTGATTGAGATGCTATTCAATCTGTTAAATCTACCTAATTTCAAAAAAAAAAAACAGGCAGAGAAACATGTTCAAAAGAACCAAAGGGGAGTTCAGGAAATTCACCAATCAGGAAAATCTAAGATGTAGGAAACTCCACAGGAAAAGTAACTCAGTTTAAAATTACCAAAAAAAAAAAAAAAAAAAAAAAGATTCAAAAAGAGGGTGTGGGCCAGGCACAGTGGCTCACACCTGTAATCCCAGCATTTGGGAGGCTGAGGCTGGATGACTGCTTGGGGCCAAGAGTTCTCAGCCAGCCTAGACAACACAGCAAGACCACATCTCTGCAAAAAAGAAAAAGAAAAAGAAAAAAAAGAGTGTGGGGAAACCAATGGGTTAAGAAAGATATGGCATCGGTGCAGTGGTTCACACCAGCACTTTGAAAGACTGAGGCAGGTGGATCACTTGAGGTCAGGAGTTTGAGACTAGCCTGGCCAACATAGTGAAACCCTGTCTCTACTAAAAATACAAAAATTAAACAGACGTGGTGGCATGCACTTGCAATCCCAGCTACTCGGGAGGGTGAGGCAGGAGAATTGCTTGAACGCAGGAGGCAGAGGTTGCAGTGAGCCAAGATCACGCCACTGCACTCTAGCCTAGGTGACAGAGCAAGACTCTGTCTCAAAAAAAAAGAGAGAGAGAGAGACATGGCAACCAAATGCACCATGCAGACCTTCTTTGCCTCCTGATTTCAGCAAATTAGTATAAAAACCATTATGAGATAGTTGATATCTCAACACTGATGATGGGGGATACTATTAAATTATTCATTTTTTAATTTGATAATGGAATTGTGATTTTTCCAGTTCTTTATTTTTTTAGAAACATGTATAGTACTAATTTTTTTTTAAGTTCCAGTAATATTTGTTCTGTACTTTTGTCATACATGGTTGTAGCTTGTATACTGATACACACACACACACACACACACACACACACGTGTTTCTATCCAACAGGATTGTATTTCCAAAGTACAAACAATTCCTCTGCAGGCCTCAACATGGTGCTTTGAATATTGAGCATACTGCTTTGAGAGTACTGAATTATATGCTGAATTTATAAAAATAAAAAACAGGATGGGCACAGTGGCTCACACCTGTAATCCCAACACTTTGGGAGGCCAAGGCAGGCAGATCACAAGGTCAGGTGTTCAACACCAGCCAGGCCAACATAATGAAACCCCCATCTCTACTAAAAATACAACAAATTAGCTGGGCAGGGTGGCAAGCACCTGTAATCCCAACTACTCGGGAGGTTGAGGCAGGAGAATCGCTCAAACCCAGGAGGCAGAGGTTGCAGTAAGCCAAGATCGCCCCATTGTACTCCAGCCCAGGCAACAGCACAAGACTCTATCTCAAAAATAATAAAAATAAAATAAAATATAAAATAAAAAACACACAAAGGGCCAAGCATGGTACAACGATAAGAAGTATACCTTGAACCAAGGATTATACATTTTCATACAACTGTTTTTGTTTTTGTTTTTGTTTTTTTGAGACAGACTTATACTCTGTCACCCAGGCTGGAGTGCATGGTGCAATTTCGGCTCACTGCAACCTCCACCTCCTGGGCTCAGGTGACTCTCCTGCCTCAGCCTCCTGGGTAGCTGGGATTACAGGCATGCACCACCATGCCCAGCTAATTTTTGCATTTTTAGTACAGACAGGGTTTCTCCATGTTGGCTAGGCTGGTCTCAACTCCTGACCTCAGATGATCCACCCACCTCGGCCTCTCAAATTGCTGGGATTACAGTCATGCACCACCATGCCCAGCTAATTTTTGCATTTTAGTACAGACAGGGTTTCTCCATGTTGGCTAGGCTGGTCTCAACTCCTGACCTCAGATGATCCACCCACCTCGGCCTCTCAAATTGCTGAGATTACAGGCTTGAGCCGCCATACCCGTCCTCATACAACTTTTTATACTGAAATAAAAACACAAAGTCCCAGGGAAGAAAGAGCAGGTATGCAAAGAAAGATGGCGTAACTATTATACTTGTAAGGGGACCTTCCTTGGGAAAGGTGCAGATACCCCCAGCCAGGCTGAATCCCTCTGACACACACTCCCAGCACCACAGGAGTTAACTTATTATGTGTATTGTCATCTATGCACTATCTGATTCCCCTGCCAGGCTGTAGGCCCCACTCTGGAGGCGCTCACGTGGCCAGACTTGGAAAGCAGTCGAGAGCCTAAAGGAAGAAACTGCAGCATCGTCCAGAGAAGGAACAGCACAGACCACAAAGAGAGTCAAACATCCCGGTGCCCAAGTCAGGAATGCCAACTAGAGATCAGCCAAAGCAGAGAGCCTGGTAGAGGGCATGGCAGTGGACTGGAGCCATCATCTCCTCTTCTGAGGAGCCGACAAAGGGAGTGGAGAGCAGGTGAGAACCAGCATACAGCAGGAAGACGGGGACTGGAGGGGCAGAATAACAGGGATGCAGCAGCTGCCGGCTCTGTAACCTGGCCGGCCTGGTCTCTTCTCAGTGCAGTAGGATGTGGGCAACCACAGGAATGCGAGCAATGCTAGTGTGTCAGAGTAGAGAACTCAAGCATTCCTCAGCCCCTTTGGGAGGCCTACTCCAACCAGCGGATGTAACCACATTCAACCATGGAGTGAAGCTCCATCAAGCACATCCGTGATGCCTGGGCACCTGGAGGAAGGAGGGAGGGAGAGAGGGGTTCCCTAGGCTGACAGAGGGATAACGGGCAGGAAGAGCCACAAAGTGGAGTTGATTTTCAAGCCCTCTCTAATTGACTCTTGAAAAGCTGGATAGGATGGGAAAGGAAGGAAAAACATATTGAGTGCTAGTTAGGCACTTCAAGGCATACAAGGAAAGTTTCCTGCCAGGAAGAGGGGCTGCACAAAGGTCAAGAGATGGAAAGAGGCTGGCTGCGGCGCCTCATGCCTGTAATCCCAGCACTTTGGAAGGCTGAGGTGGGTGGATGATTTGAAGTCAGGAGTTCGAGACCAGCCTGGACAACATGGTGAAAGCCCACCTCTACTAAAAATACAAAAATTAGCCGTGCATGGTGGCGGACGCCTATAGTCCCACGTACTTGGGAGGCTGAGGCAGGAGAATCAATTGAACCCAGGAGGCAGAGGTTGCAGTGAGCTGAGATCATGTCACTCCAGCCCAGGTGTCAGAGAGGTTCCGTCTGACACCTGGGAGAGAGAGAGAGATGAGAAGATACGATGGAGAGAGGAAGATACAATGATTTCTGGTTTTCTTTCTCCTCTCAAAGATGCCCATTAAAAGTGCTGGAGGCCCTGGGCTGGGTTCCACAGGCTAGGAGGAATGTTTTATGTATTCCTGTTTCTCTGTTAATATAGAAAATCCCACTGTCGATGAACTGTTTCTACTTCCAGGAATTTACCCCAGAGCTGTAACCAGAGCTGTAACCTCAACATATACTCACAGTGCTCAAAAAGAGGAAACCAAGTGTCCAACCACTAGAGTTAGATTGGTTAAAATACTACATAGTCATCAAAAAGCACGTTGTCAAAGATCAGTTAATGGCACAGAAAGAACTACACCCCATATAAATGGAAAACGCAGGTTACAAAACAGTATGATTCCAACGTCATGAAAAAAGTATAAGGCTTTTTTTCTTTTTTTTTTTCTTTTGAGAGGGAGTTTTGCTCTGTTGCCCAGGCTGGAGTACAATAGCACGATCTCAACTCACTACAACCTCTGCCTCCCAGGTTCAAGTGGTTCTCCTGCCTCAGCCTCCTGAGTAGCTGGGATTACAGGCATGTGCCACCATGCCCGGCTAACTTTCTATTTTTAGCAGAGATGGGGTTTCACCATGTTGGTCAGGCTGGTCTCGAACTCCTGACCTCAGATGATCTACCCACCTCGGCCTCCCAATGTGCTGGGATCACAGGCATGAGCCACCGCACCCGGCCCCAGTTTTTTAAATATATAATGTTCAAAGAGTCATTCTCTGTGTGGTAGGATTATGGGTGATAACTGTCATCCTTATTGTCTCTTATTGACAATAAATATGTTTGACTTTTTAAAAATTAGACAAAAACACAACAAATGTTATTGAAATACACACACAAAATTGAAAACACACCCACATGGGGTAAGCTTACCTTCTGCAGGACGGGGGTAGGGCAGATGTTGTCAAACAGGACTGAGTTGAAGATCCCATACACGCCCTCGTCAAGGTGGTACACGAAGGTCTTGGGGGCAGAACCATTTTCCTCTGCAGGAGGGGAGGGGTCAGGGGCAGCACAAGTAGCAATGTGAGGGGGGTGGTAATAGGACTGGCACAGCAGTGGGCTCTGCAAGGAAGCAAAATGACTGCCCATTTCTCAACCATGAGGTGGGGCCTGCCACAAAAGCCACCGGCAGCCATCCTCCAAATGACATGGGTTCACTGTTACGTTGGTAACACTCACCCTTGCAGACAAGCAACCCTGCCCAGGACGTACTCCCCTGCCTGCCCCTGAGCCCCTAGATGCCCCAGGAAAGGAGGAACGGCCAAGCCAAACTCAAGACCCCAAAAGGTCAAGACACTTGTTCAGAGGCACGTGATAGGGCAGTGGAGGAGCCAGAATGGGAAGCCAGGTCTCTTGGTCGGATTAGATGGGACAATCCCCAGGTCTATAAAGGAAGCCAGAAGAATGCCACATATGTAAACAGGACATTCTACCTGGAGCCCACCACCCTTCCACATGAATTCTCTCTGGGGAAGAGTGCACAGTCCTGAGGCTTTCCTGCCTGAGGGTCCCAGAGCAGAGGGCAAAGTCTCAAGATGAGAGTCCCTGACAGCTGTTACCCACAGGCGGCTGTCCCAGACTTATCTGGAAGGGCAGGGAAGAGCACTGATGTTGATGATGTGGGGGGCCCAGACGCTCTTAGTCAGCCTAACCTGAACTTCAATCCCAGCACTGTCCCTTATCAGCCATGTGACCTTGGGCTAATTACTCAGCCTCCCCCTGCCTATGCTGTCATCTCTAAAGTGGACTCAAACAAATATAACCTGTCATTAATTATTTTCATTACATTATGAGAAGCAGTAAGGTGAGTAGGAGCCTGTACTTTGGAGAGGAGACAGACATGGGGTCAAATGCAGGCTCTTACTAGCTATTAAGCAATTCACTTGTATTCTCTCTGGCTCTCAGTTTCCTTATCTGTAAAATGGGGTCCATAGAGTATCTATTCTCTCTAAGTTTGTTTTGCTCTCAATCTTCACAAAATACGAACATGCCTAGGAAAAAAGATGCTAAATAAATGTCTTGAGGTGGAGTGATTGTAAGTTTCCCTAAAGCAAGAACCCATTCTCCAGATCCCCCATCCTCTGCCACTGGATCTAAAACCAGATCCTGTTCAGCCAACCACCATCCCCACCTTCAGGGGAGAACAGGGCTCCACTGCCCTCCTGGCACCTACCCTCCCTGCCAGGCTGATCCAGAAGAACCTCCTTCTTGGCAGTGATGCTGACTGCCACAGCGAAGGCCGAGGTTACATAGTAGCGCCCCAGCTCAGCAAGGATGTCCACACCACAGCCCTCTGGGAAGTACAGGTCCAGGGCAGAGTTGATCACAGAAGCAATCTGGTAGGAGGAGAACGGAGAGACAATTATGTGTTTGAAATGTAGGCTTTATGCTGAAGACTTGTTACAGCTCCAAGTCTATTTCTTGAAAGCTGCTTTGATTTCCGGAAGAAGGATTTGGCAGCTGCTAAGGCCCCAGCTGGTAACTGTGGACAGCTGGCCAAGAAGGTAGGAGGGGGACAGAGCTGGGTAGAGAGCCTCATGCTTCTGTAAATCACCCCCTCCATGGCCCCACAATGGGAAGGGGTACTCTTCATATCACACTTGGTACTCAGATTCCAGAAGCCCTGATATGGATCTTTCTTTCATGAATAACCTGTTTGTTAAATACAGTTGACCCCTGACAAACAGAGGTTTGAACTGTGTGGGTCCACTTATACATGAATTTTCTTCTGCCTCTGCCACCCCTGAGACAGCAAGACCAAGCCCTCTACTTCCTTCTCTTCCTCAGCTTACTCAACTTGAAGGCAATGAGGATAAAGACGTTTATGATGATCCACTTCCACTTAATGAATAGTAAATACATTTTCCCTTCCTTATGATTTTCTTAATCGCATTTTATTTCTGGCTGGGCATAGTGGCTCACGCCTATAATCCCAGAACTTTGGGAGGCTGAGGTGGGCAGATCACTTGAGGTCACCAGCCTGGCCAAGATGGTGAAACCCGCTCTCTACTAAAATTACAAAAAATAGCTGGGCACGGTGGCATGTGCCTGTACTCCCAGCTACTTGGGAGGCTGAGACACGAAGAATCACTTGAACCCAGAGGGCGGAGGTTGCAGTGAGCCAAGATCGTGCCACTGCACTCCTGCCTGGGTGATAGAGAAAGAGACCCTGTCTCAAAAAAAAAAAAAAAAAAAAAGAGATTGTATTTCCTCTAGCTTACTTTATTGTAAGAATACAGTTGGCCGGGTGCAGCGGCTCACACCTATAATCACAACACTTTGGAGAGCTGAGGCAGATGGATCACCTGAGGTCGGGAGTTTGAGACCAGCCTGGCCAACCTGATGAAACTCTGTCTAAAAATACAAAAATTAGCTGAGCGTGGTGGTGGGCGCCTGTAATCCCAGCTACTCAGGAGGCTGAGGCAGGAGAATCACTTGAAACTCGGGATGCAGAGGTTGCAGTGAGCCAAGATCATGCCATTGCATTCCAGCCTGGGTGACAGAGTGAGACTCCATCTTAAAAAAAAAAAAATACAGAAAAAGAAAAGAATACAGTATATAACAATGTCACACACAAAATATCTGTTAATCAACTGTTGGTTATTAATAAGGCTTCCTGTCAACAGTAGCCTATTAGTAGCTAGGCTTTGGGAGAATCAAAAGTTACATGCAGATTTTTAAATGTGTAGGGTGTCGGTGCCCCTAAGCTCTGTGTTGTTCAAGGGTCAATTGTTATACTCTTGATTACAGAAAATTGAGAAAATACTGAAAAGGAAAAAGAAGATAAAAGTCACTTCTAATTCTATCACCTAGATGAATCTAATTATTGTTAACTTTTTGCAGTAGGGTCTTTAACTATTTTTTATACAAATGCCATTTTTTATTATAAGCATGATAGGTCTCTGTATGTTTTTATAACCTGTTTTACTTAATAGACTGTGAATGACCTCCCCACATTGAGTAAATGTTTTCATCAAAAGAATGTACCATACTTTAACCACTCTTGAGTATTAGATGGACCAGGGAAGTCCACTGGACTTCTGTTATGAACAAAGCTAAAACAGCCATCTTTGAGGCAAATTATTTCTGCAGGGTCAATTCCTAGATGTCGGTATTCCCAAAGGAGGTGCCTTCCAGGAAGAGTCGTCCTCTAGTGGTTGGAGTGGGAACTGCTAGGACACATTTTTCTTGACTTCACCTCACAGTGAAAGGGAACGGAGGAGAAGAGCCAGGGAGTGGACCAAATGTTGGTTTTCCTTTCCCTGCCTTCTCACCCAATTTCTCATCAGCCCATCTGAGTGTGAATAGGCCTATCCAGCCCCTTAAAGAGCCTTATGACTTATGTAAATGTGTCCTGGTTATGCCTCAAACTGGCTGGGGAAGTGCATGGCAGGCAGAACTGGGTTTTTGCTTTGGGCTCAGAAAGTGACATAACCTCTCTGAGCCTCGGCATGCTCAGCTGTAGCACAGAGTTAATAAGCAGTGAGATCGCCTAGGTAAGCACCAAGCATTGCATGTGGTGCATAGGACCCATGCACAGTGGTCTTCCTCTGATCATCTCACCCCTCCCTATCCCCCACAAATAGAACCCAGCATGACAATACCAGCTCCAGGGTTACCTCTTCAAATCTCACTTTGGCCCCTTCTGTGCCAGGGAAGCCGCCACCAAGGTCCAGGACGTGCATCCTGTGACCCAGCTCGGTGCCCATTTCAAACACGAGCCGGGCATCTGCGATGGACTGAGCGTAGGCCTGAGGATCAGGACAGCCACTGCCAACGTGAAAACTGGGAAGGGAGGAAGAGCCTCAGCTGACATGCAGGGCTCCAAGTGCCACCACCTGAGCCCCAGCCAAGAATGAAGTTGGGCAGGCACATGAGACACTTTGCCCATTTTGCAGATGTGGTGACTGAGGGCCTGAAATGTTAAATGGGTTGCCAAGGGCATATGGCAAGGGAGGACTGAACAGGAGGCTCGATCCAAGGTCTCCTGGCACTTGGTGCTCTCCCATCCCTCCTTCTGGGATGAGAGCCAGGGCCCCTAAGTCAACCAGATCTGGCTGTGCTCCCAGTCAGCAGGGTGGCCGTGGCAGCTTACTCAGCTTTGTTTTAATTTCCCCACCTATAATACGGACACAAGACCCACACCACACAAGGCTGTGAGATAATACTCGTGAAGCACTTAGCACAGCACCTGGCACATCCTAAGTACAGAATAAACGAAGCCCTATATTAGGTAGTTCATTGTTCATTCGGTAGATCGTTGTTACTCCTTCCATATCCCTGTAAGAAAAGAGTCACACAGCTGGGTGCAGTGGCTCATGCATGTAATCCCAGCCTTTTGGGAGGCTAAGGCAAGAGGATTGCTTGAGCCCAGGAGTTTGAGACCAGCCTGGGCAACAGAGTGAGATCCCATCTCTCTCTTTTTTTTTTTAGATGGAGTTTCACTCTGTCGCCCAGGGTGGAGTGCAATGGCACGATCTCAGCTCACTGCAACCTTTGCCTCCCAGATTCAAGCAATTCTCTCACCTCAGCCTCCTGAGTAGCTGGGATTATAGGCACCCACCATCATGCCCAGCTAATTTTTTTTTGTGTGTGTATTTTTGTAGAGACGGGGTTTCATCATGTTGACCAGGCTGGTCTCAAACTCCTGACCTCAGGTGATCTACCTGCCTCAGTCTCCCAAAGTGCTGGAATTACAGGCGTGAGCCACCACACCCATCCATGACCCTATCTCTACAATAAATAAAAATTAATCAGATGTGGTGACACACACTGTGGTCACAGATACTTTGGAAGGCTGAGGCAGGAGAAAGAATTGCTTGAGTCTGGGAGGTCAAGGCTGCAGAAAACCATGATCATGCCACTGCACTCCAGCCAAGGTGACAGAGTAAGACCCTCTCTCTCTCTCTCTTTTTTTTTTTGAGATAGAGTCTCCCTCTGTAACCCAGGCTGGAGTGCAGTGGCATGATCTCAGCTCAATGCACCCTCCTCCTCCTTGGTTCCTGTTGAAGCAATTCTCCTGCCGCAGCCTCCTGAGTAGCTGGGATTACAGGCACGCACTACTATGCCCAGCTAACTTTTTTTTTGTATTTTTAGTAAAGATGGGGTTTCACCATGTTGGCCAGGCTAGTCTTGAACTCCTGACCTCATGATCCACCTGCTTCAGCTTCCCAAAGTGCTGGGATTACAGGCATGAGCCACCATGCCTGGCCTGAGACCCTGTCTCAAAAAGAAAAGAAAAGAGGCCTCTCAAGAGTGTGGCTGCACGACCTTTGTGGTACAGGCTAGTAAAACACCCTCAAAGCCAGGTCTCTGGATGGAACTTCCTGGGATGAGACCTTCTGGGGACCCTGGGGCTGGGGAAGGGGCCATTCCAAACTTCCTTTTAAAACAGATGAAATTCTCAAATGGCAGAATTCCAGGCCCAGGGACAGGCCCTGCTGGGAGGCCCTGGGGAAGGTCTCATATAAAATTAAATTCCTGGGAAAGAGCCAGGAGCCTGGCGTGGGTGGGGACAGTAGGGGTTTTCCCAGTGCTCACCTCACACCCACCACCTCCACATGGCTCTTCTTGGCACTTTCAAGCAGGTGTCTGCAGGATTTCAGGGGCACTCCAAACTTCAGGCTCAGGCGGTTCAAGGAGTGGGAGTCATCGTTAGCAATGCACAGAACCATCCTGATGAGACATGCAGTGCCCCTCTGCTGGACAAACCCTGTTGCCCCACCCCAGCCACATCTCTCAATCAAGGGCTGTGAACTACATGGCTCAGAGCCACCGACCCCCACAGGTTCCCTGACCCCTCCCCCTCCCTACACAGCCAATCAACCTGAAAGTCCTGTCTATTCCATTCCCTAAATGTCCCAGGATTCATCCCTGCAGCCCCTGCCCTGGTCCAGACCTCACCAACCTTTCCTGGGGCAGCTCCAGTTCCTCCAAATCAGTCAGAGCTTTCAAACTTGTCATGTATGAGAGGAATCATTTTTAAACAAAGCCTTAAGGGGAACCCATTAATATCATGATGGAAGCTGCTTTGGGTGGACTAGAGTGGCCCATCACCTGGCCCGGCCCCTCACCCCAAAGTCCCTCCTGAGAAGTCCAAGGCTATCCAGTAATGGTGTAAAAGGCACAGCCAGAGCAAAGCATCCACCCAGACCCCTTCCAAAGTCCATTTGCATCAGGTTCCTGCCCCTAACCAGTATCTCCTTCACCCTCCACACAGAGCATACTGCATCCACACCAAGTTTCTGCTTACCCTTGAACACCCCATGCTGTTTGCAATCTCACTGCATTTGCTTATGCAGTTCACTCTTTATGCCCTCTCCAAATTCTTTTCTTTCCTCAAGGCCCACTTCAAATGCCACTTCTTTCACGAAGCTTTCCTGACTACCCCCTCAGCTCTCTCAAGCCTGTGACTTTGGCCTCCATAATACCATGGGTCTCACTCTGCCTGGGACTTTAACCAGTTATTTCTGCTTTTGTTTTAGCTAGATACTAGCATTCTGGGTCCAGTCCAGGAGTACCTGGCCCAATTCCTGCGTGACTGTGGCTGGGTCCAGGACAAGGTGACCTGCCCCAGCTCTACTCCTTCACCCCACCCTGGCCCTCCCTCCGCAGCCCAGCCTCCCCATGAGTGGCTCTCAGCTTACTTGGCACTGGGGTGGCTCTTTACCACCTTTGCCAGCTCCATCTCATTGTCAAAGCTCAGCAGCTGGATCCCACGCTTGGCAGCATACTTGATCTGTGCAATTTGCTTACAGGGGTTGGCATAGATGATCTTACTGGCAGGGATTCCAATATGCTGGACCAACTCCATCTCTGCCTGTGGGGACCCAAAGGTGGTGGTAAGGAGGCCCCAGGGCCTGCTGGCCCACGGAGCCCAAGAAGCACAGATGAGGGAAAAGTCATGGCGATGCATAAGGAGGCCCCTAACAGGTGGGCCTTGCTCTAACACAACAGATACATAGAAATCAGGACTACATGGTTTCACCATTCTTTGATAAACAGGGCTGCCATGTACAGCCATGCAGGTGGTGCACTGCACAATCCTGGGGGCTGGGGGGGTTCCCATTCGGAATGAATGGAGTAGATTTGTATATTTATTACAACTTCCTGGCAGTAAAGCACCTCATTCTAAGAAAATCAGCATATTTATAATAACAATTAAGTGTCCTAAGGAAAAGGTATGTTTTTCTAATTTACATAAAGGCATTATATGGACTCATGGTACCCCTGACAACAGGCTTCTGACACATTTTTCTGGCAAATTTAAATGTTTAAATATTACTTGGAAAACAGTATGAAGGTTCCTCAAAAAACTAAAAATAGGACAGGGCACAGTGGCTCACGCCTGTAATCCCAACACTTTGGGAGGCTGAGGCAGGCAGATCACTTGAGACCAGGAGTTTGAGACCAGCCAGGGAAACATGGCAAAACCCCGTCTCTACTAAAAATACAAAAATTAGCTGGGCACGGTGTTGCGCACCTGTAGTTCCAGCTACTCAGGAGGCTGAGGCAGGAGAATTGCTTGAACCCAGAAGGTGGGGGCTGGAGCGAGCCGAGATCATGCCACTGTACTCCAGCCTGGGCGACAGAGCCAGACTCCGTCTCAAAAAAATACAACTACCAACTATCATATGATCCAGCAATCCAATACTGGGTATACATCCAAAGGAAAGGAAATCAATGTGTAGAGGAGACAGCTGCACTCACATGTTCACTGCAGCATTATCCACAATCGCCAAGGTATGCAAGCAACCTAAGTGTCCATCAGCAGACAAACAGATAAAGATAATGTGGGCCACATACACAATGGAATACTGTGTGAGCCACATACACAGCGAAATATTAGCCTCAAAAAAGCAGGAAATCCCATCATTCGCAACAACAGGGATGAACCTGAAGGACATCATGTTAAATGAAACAAGCCAGGCACAAAAAGACAAACATGCATGGTCTTTCTTAGCAAATGTGGAATCTAAGAAAGTCAAACTCAGGGCCAGACGTGGTGGCTCACACCTGTAATCCCAGCACTTTGGGGGGCCAAGGTGGGTGGATTATGAGGTCATGAGATCAAGACCATCCTGGCCAACATGGTGAAACCCCACCTCTACTAAAACTACAAAAATTAGCTGTGTATGGTGGCGCATGCCTGTAGTCCCACCTACTTGGCAGGCTGAGGCAGGAGAATCACATGACCCCGGGAGGCAGAGGTTGCGGTGAGCCAAGATCACGCCACTGCATGCCAGCCTGGTGACAGAGCGAGACTCTGTCTCAAAAACAAAAAAAAAAAAGTCAAACTCAGAGAAGCAGCATAGAATGGTGGTTGCCAAGGACTAGGGTTGGTGGTGAGGGGGCAGTGGGAAGAAGTTGGTCAAAGGATACAAAGTTTTAGTCAGGAGAATTAAGTTCAAGAAATCTAATGGACATCATGATAACTATAGTTAATAACAATATATGGTATATTCGGAAATTGCTAAGAGAATAGACCTTAGGTGTTCTTACCACAAAAAAAAAAGGTAAGTATGTGAGTTAATGCCTAATTAGCTTGTTAACCATTCCACAACATATACATATATCAAAACATCATGTTGTATGCCATAAATATATACAACTTTTTTTTTTGAGACAGAGTCTCGCTCTGTCACCCAGGCTGGAGTGCCATGGCATGATCTCTCAATGCAACTTCTGTCTCCTGGGTTCAAGCAATTATTCTACCTCGGCCTCCCAAGTGGCTGGGATTACAGGTACCCGCCACTATGCCCAGCTAATTTTTGCATTTTTAGTAGAGATGGGGTTTCACCATATTGGCCAGGCTGAACTCCTGACCTCAGGTAATCTCCCCACCTTGGCCTCCTTACAGGCATGAGCCACCACACCTGGACTCTATATGCAATTTTTATTTGTTAACTTAATAAATAACAATAATATTGCTGGTATATTAGAAAGTCCACCAGACCAAGGGTCTTTTGGACAGAGATCACCCAACTCCAAAGGCCTACACTGTGTGTGGCCCTATGCTGAGTGTGCAGGATGTACGGGCTCAGTCCTGCTCCTCTTGGGGCCTCCTCCTCATCCCATTTACAGAACATGGGGTACCTGATTGCTGCGTTAATAATATGAACAAATGATGATGATGATGATGATTATGATCATTATGACAGCAACTGTGTTCATTCAGCACCTGCCACAAGCAGGCCCTGAATTATATGTTTTACATCAGGTGTTAGCAAACTTTTTCTATAAAGAACCAGAGTAAATATTTTAGGCTTTATGAGCCACACAGTCTCTGTCGCAATTTTTCTCTCTCTCTCTTTTTTTTTTTTTGAGACGGAGTTTCGCTCTTGTTGCCCAGGCTGGAGTGCAATGGCACAATCTTGGCTTACTGCAACCTCTGCCTCCTGGGTTCAAGCTATTCTCCTGCCTCAGCCTCCCAAGTAGCTGGGATTATAGGCACGTGCCACCATGCCCAGCTAATTTTTGCAATTTTAGTAGAGACAGGATTTCACCATATTCGTCACGCTGGTCTCGAACTCCTGATCTCAGGTGATCCACATGCCTCAGCCTCCCAAAGTGCTGGGATTATAGGTGTATGCCACCACACCCAGCTCTGTCACAACTTCTCAACTGCCTTTGTAGCACCAGAACAGCCACAGCCAACACTAAATTGAATGAATGTGACTGTGAGCCAATAAAACTTCATAAAATCAGCTAGCGGGCTGGATTTGGCCCTCCATCCGTAGTTTGCCAACCCCTACTTTGGATTCACCTGTTTATTCAGTCCTTGCAAATAACCCATTCCGATGGGTGTTAACTCCAGTCTACAGAAAAGGAAACTGATGCTCTGATGCTCAGAAGGGCTACACAGCAAGTAGGTGGCAGAACAAACTTTGGAACTCAAGTCTGACTCTCCCCGAATAAACAAGAGAAGCCAGTTTTGAAACATGGTGAGAGATATAAGAGCCATTTTTAGCCATCCTGAGTTTGTAATGAGTCTAATTTTAATTTAGCAACTTTTCAGCACTGGGTATTTATAAGCATTATTTCATATCATCCCAATGACTATGCTATGAAATATTTACTGGCTACATTTTATGGAGGACAAAATTGAGTTCAGTGAGGTCCACCTGTCTGTGGTGACACAGTCAACCAGTAGCAGAGCGGGACACAAAGGTCAAGCTGGGCTTGCTGCTACCACAGCTGGCTCCCCAGGGACAGATGTGGCCCACCCTGAATCAGAGTGGATGCAGACCTGTGTTTTTGTTCCCTGCCTCAGCACATGCATGAAGTGAGAGGAAGAATCAGTGTTAGCATTTTGGGTACCTATGATTGAGCTTCAGTTATAAATATTTTTTTAATTTTAAATACACACACACACACACACACACAATCTTTTCTAAATGGAGATGGGTCTCACTATGTTGTCCAGGCTTATTTTGAACTCCTGGGCTCAAGCAGTCCTCCTGCCTTGGCCTCCCAAAATGCTGGGATTACAGGTGTGAGCCAAGGCACTCAGGCTAATTATATATATTTAAATAAGTGTTGTCATTCACTGAAGGCATATCCTATGCCAGTCATTGCATGAAGTATTTTATATATATTCTCGTTTAACCTTACTAAGAATCTTATAAAGTAGGGAACAGAGGTTCAGAGAGGCTTACGTGATTTGTCCAAAGTCACACAGCTTCTAAGTGGCACAGATGGGATTCTAACCATCAGACCTTAGCACACCAACTCAACCTCACTGCTGTAACAGGGAATGCAACCTCAATGCCGCACTGACAGGTATGTTTTGAGCATCTACTGAGTGGCCAGGCTCCATGATAGGTGTTAACAAAACAAGTGGTAAAAAAAAGCACATAGGGTCTCTGAGACCATGGAGCTTTCAGGTCGATGGGGAAGACCGGCAGGCAGTCCCAGATGAACACTGAATAACAATGGAATTACAAGCAGTTAAGAGCTGGGAAGAAAAGGTACAGCTCCCAGAGACCTGGGTGTGAAGGGCAAAGGACAGCCTCAGGGTCAGATATTTAAACCGAGCCCTGCAGGAGGCCTCAGATAGGCCAAGAGGGAAGAAAAGAATCTAAGACTGTTCCCAGTAGAGGAAGTGGCCTGTGCAGAGGTTCTGAGGCAAGCAGTACTGAGCACTTTAGCCTGATCAAGGAACAGAGAATGCTAGAGTGGCTCGAGCAGAGTAAGTTAGAGCAGTGGGGACGATGAGGTCAGAGGGAGGTGGGCAGAGCCGCCAAGGAAACCTGTTTTACCCTGCATGAGATGGGAAGAGCCTGAAGGGTTAGGAAGGGAAAGACATGGTCAGATTTGCATATTAAATACAAGGTCTACACGCCTATCACTCTGGCTACCTGAGGGACGGCCCAAGGGGATTCTGGGGGAATAGATTGTGCTAGTCAGTGGCTATAGTGGCTATAGACTGTGATAATCAGTGGGTGAGATGACAGAGCCAGCTCCGGAAAAGCAGGGAGATGTGTTCTAGAGGCGAGGCTGGCAAACTGGGTGATAGATTGCACATGGGGATGAGTGGGAGGACATCAGAGGGAACTCCCACACCCAGCAGACCGAGGGGGCCCTTCATAAGGGCGAAGGGGCACATCAGGAGTCCCTTTGAACATGCTGGGTTCCAGGCATCTCCTTGTATCAAGTCAACTGGATACATAGGTCTGAGCTGGAGATTAAAATGTGGGAAGAGGTGGCATATTGATGGTATTTAAAGCCAGGGAAGAGATGAAATTCCCTGAGAAGAAGGAGGATTTACAAGACAGGGAGGCCTAAGAATTTAGAAGAATGCTACCATTCAGAGAGCAGCAGAAGACAGGAAGAGATGGCTCCCAGGACCTGCAGAAGTGAGGATGGAAAATGTTTCCAGAGGATGGAGAACAACACACAGATTAGAATGCTATTCCTATAAATGCAAATCTTGTCTAATAGCTTGTGTCTGGATGAGAAGGAACTGTCTCAGCTGTCTGTCAGAAGTGCCTGATGAGGTGGAGTCAAGCAGTGTTCTTTCATCTTACACATTTCTGAAGCCTTTGAAAGTAGGACCATATGTTACTGTTGAGTCTTTTTTTTTTTTTTTTAAGAATGCATTGCTGTGTTGAATGCTGTTGAGAGGTCCAAAAGGACTAAAGAGTGTCCCCCAAGACCAGGTCTAAATGCATCAACATGGACAGCTCTTCAAAAGCCACTGAGGCTAGGCCAGATGCAGTGGCTCATGCATGTAATCACAGTACTTTGGGAGGCCAAGGTGGGTGAATCACTTAAGGTCAGGAGTTCAAGACCAGCCTGGTCAACATGATGAAACCCCTTTCTACTAAAAATACAAAAATAGGCTGGGCATGGTGGTATGTGCCTGTAATCCCAGCTACTTAGGAGGCTGAGGTGGGAGAATCCCTTGAACCCGGGAGGTGGAGGTTGCAGTGAGCTGAGATTGTGCCACTGCACTCCAGGCTGGGCAACAGAGCAAGACTCCACCTCAAAAAAAAAAAAAAAAGACCCACTGAGTTTAAAGCGATTGTAGAATAGTACATACCACATGCCACAAGAACACCTTTTATATATTGTTACAAAATCACAAAATATTTGATATATATTTTGTAGATCATTTACATATTTTAATATGTCCACCAAAACCATCCTAGTGATTATCTGTGGAGACATAAAGCTGATGGCCTTCTTTCTTTTTGGGTCAATGAATCAACCTGTTATTTGCTATGTATTATTAGTGCACAGTTCATGTTTAAAGTACTCACTGGATCCTGCAGATCACTGCAGACGTTAGTAAGAGAAAATCCTTTGGCATAGTGACAGTGGAGGCTGGGAAGCAATGGCTTAAGGATGAGGAAAAGAAAAAATGGGGGTGGACAGACGAGTGCAGACAACTCTGTTGAGTTTGGTCACGCAAAGGGAGAAAGGGATTGGGCTGGAGGAGGATGTGGTGTCCTTCAGATGGGAAGATGCTGAGGGAGACAGCAAGAGAGGGCAAGGACAGGGGCAGGAGAGATGACACAATGATCCTTTGGCAGGTGGCTGTGTGGACCAGAGTCCCTGAGCAAGCCATGGCCCTGGCGCCTGTCCAAAGGATGCCTGTCTGCACATCCAGCCTTAGTTCACCCCAAGCCCTCGGTCAGTGTCCACTAGGGCACAACGCTGTTAAGCAAGGCCACCCCCTATGGCTGACCAGAAGAGGGCAGCCTTGCTCTTCCAAGAAAAGCTGTAAGTCCCAGGAGCTACCTCCAGAAGCATATGAAAGGGTCTGCATGATCCCATTGCAGGGAGGGGGCTTAGGCATCCCCTAGCCCCTGCAGTTGGCTGTGGGCATCCATCACTAGCTGAATCCCAGCTCCGCTATCCTGAGTCCGAGGCGACTCAGCAGGACTCAAGCTACCACCACTCTGGTATGGAACCTCCTTATACATTAAATATGTCCTCAGCAGGGTATGGTCAGAATCTCCGTAAAAAAATAATTACCTCACCAGGCTGTTGCAAGAATAAAATGAGATCATGTATAGAAAACACTTGGCAAAGTGCCTGGCATAACAGCTGTACTCAGCATAAGGGCAGATGCTTCTCCAATTCCCGCTGTCATCAAGGTCTCTCTAAGCCTTAACACCCCACAACTCTGCCCTTCCTGCCAGAGAAGCAAGTGCCTCCCCCTGGGGTTTCTGAAGCAGAAAACTTTAGGCAGCCAACCCCACAGTGTCCTCAACTGTAGAACAGCCATCTCTTCCCCTATGTACCTCACAGGGCTTCATAAAAGATGTGTATGAAACGAGGTGTGCAAAGCACAAACTAACCCAAAGACAAGGGGAAGCACCTCGTCTACCATAAAAGGCATTAACATTCAGTCCCTACTACTCATCTCATTCTGGTTAACCTGCTCATTCTGACCATCCCAGCTGGGTGCACACTTCTCCCCAACCTGGAGTTGCTCCTACACTGTTATCCTGCCCAGGACTCCAGGAGTACGTTCTAGAACTCTCCTCACAACATCCAGCCATATGACACAACCATTATTAACTACCAAGAAAATGGTGCTAACAACAATACCATAAACCAGTACCCACCAGACTTGCTCCCACCTCAGGGCCTTTGCACTTGCTGCTCCTGCCTGAAATGCCCTTCCCCTGGTTATCCACCTGGCTTGATCCCTTGGCTCTTTTGGGTCTGTATTCAAGTCTCAGTGAGGCATTCCCTGGCCAAACCATCTAAAAGTGCAAGCTTCTCTCCCAGCATTCCTTGCTTTCCTTTCCTGCTTTTTCTCCACAGCACTTTCCATCAAAAACACTAAATATTTTCATTATTTCATCTGTTTATTTTTTTGTAAACAAGCTCCATGAGGGAAGGGCTTTGGTTGTTTTATTTTGTTCACTGCCAAATCCCCATCTAGAATAGCACTTGGCCTCAGAGGAGATACCCAGTTAGTATTTGCTGAATCAATAAATGAGATTGTTTCAAAGCTCTACTTAGTTGAAATGTTATAGCTTAAAGGCTTTTCTCTAGCAAAGACAGAGTGGAAATAGATAAACTAAGCATTCAACTCAAAGACAGTTCTGCCCAGCACAGTCACTACCACATTGTAGGGGTTCAGTGGATACTGAATGACAGTACATAAGCAAAGTTCATCTAAAATGGCCATGTGTGTCACCTCATGCCTATAATCCCAGCACTTTGGGAAGCTGAGGTGGGCAGATCACTTGAGGTCAGGAGTTCGAGACCAGCTGGCCAACATGGTAAAACCCCGTCTCTACTAAAAACACACAAAAAATTAGCTGGGTGTGGTGGTGTGCGTCTGTAATCCCAGCTGCTTGGGAAGCTGAGGGCAGAACAATTGCTTGAACCCAGGAGGCGGAGGTTGCAGTGAGCCAAGATCAGGTCCCTATACTCCAGCCTAGGCAACAAGGCAAGACTCCGCCTCAAAAGAAAGAAATCTAAAGAGAGCAGGAGGGAATGAAGACAACAGCAGAAATCAATTCAGAAAGACATAATTGGTGACAACAACAAAAATACAAGGACTAGTTAAGAAAATATACCGTCATGGCCGGGCACGGTGGCTCATGCCTATAATCCCAGCACTTTGGGAGGCCGAGGTGGGTGGATCACAAGGTCAAGAGATCGAGACCATCCTGGTCAACAAGGTGAAAACCCGTCTCTACTAAAAATACAAAAATTAGCTGGGCATAATGGTGCACACCCTTAGTCCCAGCTACTCAGGAGGCTGAGGCAGGAGAATTGCTTGAACCCAGGAGGTGAAGGTTGCAGTGAGCTGAGATTGTGCCATTGCACTCCAGCCTGGGTAACAAGAGCGAAACTCCATCTCGAAAAAAAAAAAGAAAATATAGCGTCACACATTGTTATTATAAAAGGAAAAAGAAAATAAATCAACAGTATGGAGATGGTTTGGTTTTGTTTTAATTAGAAGAACACCATGTTTAGCTTTGTGCCAAACAAATTTGCAAATCTCCATTAAAAAGATGAGCCTTCTACCAGGACACAGAAGATTCTAATTTGGAACTTCAAGGCTGACAGATTCCATGCTCATTTCTCCCTCCCTTATCCCTTGAGACCCCTCCTGAGTGGGCGGTCTTCCCAGAGGGCAAGGGCCAACTGCAGGTACCTCCTGCTCCCTGGAGCCCGCCTGCACTAGCCTGTGTTCAGTGGGCATGGAGGGTCAGTGCACCTTGGGGTTGGGGCTCACCTTGTTGGCACAGCTGAAGCCCAGCCCCAGCTGGGCCAGGACCTTCAGCACACCTGGGCTGCTGTTGCACTTGACAACGTAAAAGGGCCGGACTCGTGGCAGGCACTTCAGAAAGTAGAAGTGCTTTCTCACTATGGCACCCAGGTCAGCCACGAAGAAGGCAGAGGCCTTGTCCTGAACAACAAGAAGTAGATGAATGTGAAACCCCATCCAGCTCCTACCCCTGCATGCCATCCATGATCCTTCCAAGTACCTGTCCCAGGTTCAGTACTGGCCACAGAGCTACCCTGCTGTAAAGTTTTCTGGGACTCCCCAAGCCTACAGGACAGAAGGCAAACTCCTCAGCCTGGCATTCAAGGCTCTGTGATCTAGCCCCAGCCCCTCCCCTCAATGCAGCTAAAACTCCAGCTGTAGGCTGGATCATTTTTCCACCTTCGAACCTTTGCTCCCACCATGCCCTCTGCAGAATACCCTTCCCCCTCCCATGTCTGGCAAAATCCTTAAAGTTTCAGTTCAAATGTCACCTTCCCCAAACCAACAACGCAACTCTGCTTTTAAATGCTTCCACAGCATTTTGGATGTGCTTCCAAGGTATCAGAACTGTATATGCATCTGTCCATTTCAGAAAAGGGTTAAACTCCCTAAAGGCAGAAGCTATGACCTACAGCTCACTGCCTTCCAAACACAGGTGCTTGATGAAGCCTTAGGCTAGTCCCACTGACACTGCAACCTATGCCTATGGACAAGTGTTCACTGCAGATGTGCTAAAGGCCAAACATGTATGAGGCTGTGGGTGAGACCACATTACTTAAATATGGAAGGGACCCTTCCAAAGTCCCTTCCCTGGGACTTAGTTTCCCTTTCATGCAACACTTTTTTACTGATGCCCACTTGGTGCCAAACATTGTGCTAAGGGACAGAGATGAACAAACAGAACTGTTGCTCTGAAGGAGCTTGGGTCTGGAAGAAAAGGAAGCCCTTAAGTACTTACAAGTCCACTCAGTAGATGCTAGATGGAAGTTTCTACAAGGTGCAGTGCGGGGACATGGAGAAAGAAAATACAAAATCTGCCTGCAGTGAGCAGGAAAAGGCAGCACTGATGAGAAGCAAGCAATAACTAGAAAGGGGTAAAGAGGGGAAAGGCCGGGAGAAGGATGCTGCAGGCAGAAGAAACAGCCTGGGCAAAGGCATGGTAATAGGGCGCATGGCATCATTGGGAAATGTGAATAGTCATTCAGCTCTGATGGAGCATAATATATACTTTGGGGAAAGCTGGGAATGGGGCTATGGAGGCAGGGAAATTCTGACTTGATCCTGTAGGCAGTGGGGAATTGCCAAAGAATTCTGATTTTAAACAGAACTATGATACATTTTTCATAGTATCATAGTATAGTTTTCATAGTATCATAGGGGGTGGCATGAGACAGGGAGGAGACTGGGGGGCCTTCAGAGAGATGAAGACTGAACTAGTAAGTGAGGTTCCACATAACCACACTGGAGGGTTATTTAAGGAGGCAGAATTCACAGAGCTTGGCAATGCCTAGATGTGGGCAGTGAGGGAGAGGGGGCAGCTGGAAAAGAATCCCCGGCTTCTGACCTTGGAGGGCTGGGTAGAAAGGCAACATAGGAGGGGCAGGTTTGGGGGCAAGGACCAGGAATTGGGGATAAATTGAGATGTTCTCTTGCAAATAGCAAGGATTGGGTACCAAATAAGTGAAAGGATAAGATCAGGGCCCCAGGGACCCTTCAAGAGGAGGCAGCTGATATGTATAGGGGACGGGGAGGCAGCTGATCTGTATAGGGGACCGGGGACCCACCCCCATTCCCAGTCCCTCACCGTGGTGGCCTGTGAGGCCCCCAGAGTGAGTTCCTCCAGCAGGTCTTGGGTACTGAAGCCCTCCTCCACCATCACAAAGTCCGATTCACTCAGGTAGTCAGCCATGCCTTGGCAAGAGGAGCTGACGGGTTGGATGGAGCGTTGCTGCAGCTGCCGCCTTAAAAAGTATGCAACACAGTGTGAGAGGGGGAGATGGAGGGAACCGCTGGGGGGCCGGCTCCGCTGCCCCGCCCCCCCAGGCCAGGGATCCCAACCCCTTCACAACCCGCCCCCAGCATAAGCCTGGGATTCACTAGGCAAGGGTGGAGAAAGTCAAGAATCCTGGATTTCAGACTGAGACAAGGCACCGTATGCCCAAATGTCACTGCCTCTGAGTCAGTTGCCCCATCTGTAAAATGGATGAATTGTTTTGAAGAGCCTTTCCAGTTCTGAAATTCTGGATTTCAGGAAAGAGTGAAAGAGTGAGAGGGGGAACAGGAAATCCGAGAAGCTTGGGTGGGAAAGTTTCCAGGGCACCCCAATCCTGACCACGTCCACCTAGAAGGTATCAGGTGGCCACCCCAGGGAGTCTCAGCCTGAGGACAAGAGCTTATGTTTGAGTCCACTCTCTACTGCTAGACCTTGGGTACGCTCTGATCCTTCTCGGAGCCTCAGTTTCCCCACTTGTAAATGGGCGCTGGACTAATCCTGACATGCCAGAATTCTAAGGGTACCTGGGGGCACCACGTGGTGGGTGGGGGCCTCAAGCTCCTGGGAGAGAACAGAGGGCCGAGGTTCTTTCTGTCCGAGTGACTCCTCCCAAGTGTAGGGCCGAAGTCCACCCCATCCCCCAGGGCCCCTTACCAAGCTCCGTCCTCCTTCGCGGGGGCCAGAGCCAGGCGCGCTGCTAGGGAGGGTCGCCGGTGACCTCGAAACTTGTGCAACACTCCGAGGAGGAGTGGCAGTTGCGGAGCCGAGGCCCCTGCTGAGAGGAGGCAGAAGGGGTCACGGGGCAGGTCAGCACCAGAGCGGAGGGCGTCCGCTCCCCGAGGCTCCCCAGGCCACTCCCCGCACTCGCCTTAAAACGCATTTACACGGCTTCGGCCCATAGGTCTCCCCAGCGAGTGAATCGGTCCTCCGCGCCTCCGCTCTCTCGCTCCCCCGGGCTCCGGCCCCGCGGCCTGCGCCCCGCCCGCCCAGCAGACACCGACCCCACGCCCCGCCTTCCACCCGCCGCTCACTTATATAGCCCCGCCCCGGCCCCGCCCACTTGGTCCAGGCCCCGCCGTAGCCCTGGCAACCAGGTGCCGCCATCCCATTGGTCGATTCCGACATAAAGCACTCAGCTCTGCCCACCCGTGCTGCAGTCTTCCCGCCCTCCCCCCCGGAGGTCTAGCGGTGGCTACCCCACGCTGGGAAATCGAACTACAGGGCTGCCGCCACACGGGTGGGACACTTAGACCCTGCAACTTAGGTCTTAGAAAGTGGACAGGAAGCCTTTTCTGCCACTGCCTCAACTTACTTCGTGGTACCACTCTTCTCTCTTGCGGGAACTGCTCACTCATCTCTAGAAACCCAGTTCAAATGTTATGTGCTTGTATTACTTTTGTAATGAAATTCTTTTAATTTAATTGACTCTTTCAGACATCTTCTCCGACTCCAACTCAAAATGCAGCTAAAATGTCCTCAGACAGTGTTTTTGTGACTTTCCCAGTTCAGGGCAATCCCTCCCTTTATCCTATCCTCTGAACCCGGCAAACTCTTACCTCTCAACGGAAATGTGTCTCTTTCTCCAAGAAGCTTTCTCTGACTTCCTCAACTCAAAGCATTTCTTCCATACCAACAAGCTGCTGCTCACCCATCAAAGTCCAGTATAATGTCACCTCCTCCGTTGAACTTTCAATGACTTGTCTGGCCCCAAAGAACACAGCACTTATGTCTGTCTGGACTCCTCACTCATTTGGTTCTTGTTACCCATAACGTGAGATTCCTGTTGTTATTTTATGCTTCTTCTTTGGTTACACTTTGCAACTAGTTTGTGATTTCCCAAGGGCAGGGACTGAATACCCTGTTCAAGTGCCTGGTGCCTGGCACAGACAAGAGTGTGCAAGAAGATTCAGTGTAATCCCAGCACTTTGGGAGGCCGAGATGGGCAGATTACCTGAGGTCAGGAGTTCGAGACCAACCTGGCCAACATGGCAAAACCCCGTCTCCACAAAAATACAAAAATTAGCCAGATGTGGTGGCACACAGCTGTAATCCCAGCTACTTGGGAGGCTGAGGCAGGAGAATCACTTTAACCCAGCAGATGGAGGTTGCAGTGAGCCGAGATCACACCACTGCACTACAGCCTGGGCAACATAGGGAGACTCTGTCTTTTTTTTATTCAATAGCTATGTTACTCAAACGCTGATTCAAAGTTCATCTGGAAAAGAACAGTCAAGACATTCCTGGAAAAAAAGAAAGAGGACTTCCGCTGTCATATCAAAATTTTTAAATAAAGCTATAATTTTTAAACTGTGGTGCTGGAGCAGGAAGAGACAGTGCTAGAACAGAACAGTCTAGAACAGTTCCATACACATTGGAGACTGGTACACAATGAAGGCAGCATTTCAAATCAATGAAGCCATCAGGCTTTTGGTCTACCATATGTCTTCATGTCTCCTGCTAAGCTGCAGGCTTTTATTTTTTCTTTTGAGACAGGGTCTGGCTCTGTCACCCAGGCTGGAGTGCAGTGGCATGACCTTGGCTCACTGCAACTTCTGCCTCCCAGGCTCAAGTGATCCTCCAACTCCAGCCTCCCAAGTAGCTGAGACTACAGGTACATGCCACCATGTCTTGCTAATTTTTGTATTTTTTGTAGAGACAGAGTTTCACCATGTTGCCCAGGCTGGTCTCAAACTCCTGAGCTCTAACAATCTGCCCACCTCAGTCTCCCAAAGTGCTGGGGTTACAGACATCAGCCACAAGACCCAGCAGGCTGTAGACTTTTTTTAAAATCAGAGGCACTTCTTGTCTTGCCTTAGTATCTCTCAGGACACTCTGTACAACCTAGTTAGAACATGCTCAATACACAGATGGTGCAGGACAGGGACCAGAGGCAGGGAGAACCATTTTCTGCTCCCTACCCAACTGGGACATATAATTGCTGGGTGTCCTTGACTGCATCACCCCAACTGGATCTGGGTCACTTCTGCCTGGCTTGATTTCCCCCTGTGAACTGAGAGGTTTCAAACTGATTTTTCTGGGCCCTTCTGCCTGGAACCTTCTTGTTTTCTATGCAGAGGTGTAGCATTTCAGGAGGCAGCTTTATAGGTCTGTCATTAGCAGGCCCATTCTTTGAGATTAATAGGCATTTGCAACATAGTATGAGAACAAGTACCTACCAATCAGGAAAGGGTAGATCAGGATGGCCATGGCAGGAACCTGAAAAGATTAGACTGAGAGGAGGGAAGAGTACCCGAATGACTTTGTCTCTACTTTTAGTTTAATCATTCTTTGAGCTGGCTGCATTTGGATGTCATGATCTGGGTCTGCCCCACCAGCTTTTTTTCATCACCTAGTTAGACACGTTATGCTTACTGAATGAATCAATAGAGGTATAAAGAAACGAACCAGAATCTAGTCTGTGCATTTGGAATCTATCAAGAGTAAGTAATCAGACCAGAAAAGTTTGCATCCTGGACTGGGTACAGATAGGCTGTGGCTTTTCCTTTTTCCCTGCTTGTTAGGTGATGTCATTGAAACTCCATGACAACCCTATGTCACAGGAGCTACAATTGTTCTCATTTTACAAATGAGGAATATGAAGCTCAGAAAAGTTCAGTAACTTGCCAGGATCACAAAGCAAGTAAAGGTGGAGACTAGATGTAAATCCAAGCCAATCCTGACCTTTATGCTTGACTGCTAATCAGTGGCTGAGAATTCTGTCCCCAGCTCAACAAAAGTTACACACATCCTGCCAGCATCCAACCCAAAGGCAGGTGGCTTCTCTTCTGCTGGTCTCTCTTGCTACTGCCATCTTAGCATCTATGATTGCTGTGTTGAGCCCTGAAGCAGGATAAAAAGCTTCTGATCTCTAGTCAGAATCATGTCAGCCAATTCAATCTATTCTTCATAAACCAAGAGGAATCATAGTCACAAACGTTGCGATAATAAAAATGCCTTATTAGTACATAGAACTGGAGAGTTTGAAAAATACTTTCCTGTTCATCATTTTATTCAGGCTTCCCAAAATTCCACCAGTATTAATTTCTTAGGGATGCCATAACAAAGCTCCAATACCGAGTGGCTTAAAATAACAGAAATGTTTTGTCTCCTAGTTATGAAGGCCAGGAGTCAGGAGTCAAGAAGTTGGCAGGGCCATGCTCTCTCTGGTGGCTCTAGGAGAGAATCCTTCCTTGCTTCTTCTAGCCTGTGGTGTCAGCTGGCAATCCTTGGTATTCTCGGCTCATAATGCATCACTCCAGTCACATGGTTGTCTTCTCCCTGTGTGTCCTCATATGATCTTCCCTCTATATGTATTTGTCTCTGGGTCCAAATTTCCCCTTTTAATAAGCACGCTTATCATATTGGATTAGGGCCCACCCTAATGACCTCATTTTAACTTGATTACCTCTATAAAGTCCTGTTTCCAAATAAGGACACATTCTGCGGTACTGGGGTTAGGACTTAAAAATGACTTTTTATGGCCGGGCACGGTAGCTCAAGCCTGTAATCCCAGCACTTTGGGAGGCTGAGGCGGGTGGATCACGAGGTCAAGAGATCGAGACCATCCTGGTCAACATGGTGAAACCCCGTCTCTACTAAAAATATAAAAAATTAGCTGGGCATCGTGGCGTGTGCCTGTAATCCCAGCTACTCAGGAGCCTGAGGCAGGAGAATTGACTGAACCCAGGAGGTAGAGGTTGTGGTGAGCCGAGATCGCGCCATTGCACTCCAGCCTGGGTAACAAGAGCGAAACTCCGTCCCAATTAAAAAAAAAAAAAGCCTTTCTGTCTGGCGGCAGCCATCAGGTAAGACAAGATGGGTGCATACAAGTACATCCAGGAGTGATGGAGAAAGAAAAATGACTTTTTACAGGGACACAAATTCAACCCATAACACCACCAAACACTTCTTTTTATATAATTGGCCAATATATAGATCCATGATGACACCTAGTTGTGAAGGAGGTAGGAAGACATAGTCTTTAACTGGGTACATTGCTGTTCCTCTTACCCCCCAATAAAGTCAAAATACTAAAGAAGACAGGGAGAGTGCATATTTTGTGGTAACTAGTAGGGAAGATTATTTCTCACTTTTGGAGATCAGTATACCACCAGTGTGGCAGCTCATGCCTGTAATCGCCAACAGTTTGGGAGGCCCAGGCAGGTGGATCACTTGAGGTCAGGAGTTCAAGACCAGCATGGTGAAACCCCATCTCTACTAAAAATACAAAAATTAGTCAAGCATGGTGTTGGATGCCTGTAATCCCAGGTACTGGGGAGGCTGAGGCGGGAGAATCACTTGGACCCAGGATGCGGAGGTTGCAGTGTGAGGAGATTGCACCACTGCACTCCAGCCTGGGCAACAGAGTAAGACTCCACCTCTAAAAAAATAAGCAAATAAATAGTCAGGCGCAGTGGCTCACGCCTGTAATCCCAAGCACTTTGGGAGGCTGAGGTGGGTGGATCACAAGCTCAAAAGATCAAGACCATCCTGGCCAACATAGTGAAACCCCTGTCTCTACTAAAAATTCAAAAATTAGCTGGGCATGGTGCCACGTGCCTGTAGTCCCAGCTACTCGGTAGGCTGAGGCAGGATGATCACTTGAACCTGGGAGGCAGAGGTCACAGTAAGCAGAGATCGCACCACTGTACTCCAGCCTGGGCAACAGAGTGAGACTCCATCTTAAAAAAAAGAAGAAAAGATCGGTATACAAGTTGCTATGGTTTGAATGTGTCTCTCAAAAAGCTTGGGTTGTAATTGAACACTCAATGCAACAGTGTTGGGAGGTGGGGCCTAATGGGAGGTGTTTAGGTCATGAGGGCTCCACCACCATAAATGGATTAATGCCAATTATAAAAGGGCTTGAGTCTGTGAGTTCAGCCTCTTGTTCTCTCTTGCCCTCTCCTGCCCTCTCCACCACCTTCCACCATGAAATTATGCAGCAAGAAGGCCTCCACTAGAGGTAGCGCCTCAGTCTTGGATTTCCCAGC